TTTTGAGGTAAAAGAAATTCCCCTCACAAATGTAAGTGCTTGTGCAACAGATGGTGCTCCAACCATGTCTGGTTGTCATACTGGGTTTCTGGGTCACTTTAAAAAAGAAGTACCGGAAGTTATCTCACCATTCATTATGTCATTCATCGTCAACTTTTGGCTGCGAAAAATTGGTTATTTCTGGCATCAATAAAATAAAAGCTAATTCTCCTAATAACCGTTTGTTCCGAGAACTTTGCCATGAAAATGATGAAGATTTCGAATTCCTGCTCCTACATACAGCTGTGAGATGGCTTTAAAAAGGAAACTGAGCCGTTTCTTCGAATTGCTGGATTCGTTGAAAACTGCGTACCTCACGGATATTTTCGAAAAAATGAACGAAATCCAAGTAAAATTTCAAGGAAATAAGATGAACATTATCAAGGCTAAGGGAATCATGTCTTCATTCATCGCCAAGTTCGATATCTACAAGTCAAACATTGGTCGCAAAGAGCTAATGCAATTTCCTACTCTTAAAAAGTGTCCAATGGCAGATATCGAGATCCTCGAAAATAAAATCTTAATTTTTACTGATCACCTTGATCACAGTTATGGAATCATGATTTAAAGATTTGATGAAATTAGAAATTCCGGATTGGATTTTCGATCGTTTCTCTTTTGAAGTTGTGGATAAGCTCACTTCCTCTTTGTAGACTGAGATTTTAGATTTGAAGAATGACTGTGAGGCTTAAGTCGTCTTTAAAAAATACGGTTACGAGTTAGCTTGGGTAAAGCTTATGGACACTTATCCACAATTGTGGAAACAAAATGAGCCGCTTCTCATCTCGTTCCCGTCAACCTATTCAGTGGAGAGAGGGTTTAGTTCTGTCTTCCAGCTGCTCACAAATCAAGGAGATAGGTTGGACATTTGCTTCAAAGGAGACCCGCGTTTAAATCTGACGAGTATGAAGCCTGACATTCAAGCTTTTACTTGAAATACACCAAGCACAGGGCAGTGATTAAGGTGGTAAAAATGTATTTCCCCCCTCTTCATTTTTTCTCTCAAATTTTAGTTGTTAACGTTTTAACTTCTTCTTGATTACATTAAAATATTAATTTAAAAAAATTTCTTTTGTTTTGATTATTCCGTTTTAAATATCATTTCTTTTTGAAAAAAAAAAGGTGCAAAATTTTTTTTTAATTAATAAAAATGACAGGATAAATATGCCTCCTTATTTGCATTACAATTTAAATTAAAATCAAATAACATAGCATATTTTCAGTGCTTGGTTGCTCACAAGCAACAATGAATGGTTTTTTAAGCAAAAAGAGAAAGGGGTGATATGTGTCAGCCAACCCCAAGAGGGGGGCGATGGTCCACAAAAGGTTGGGAGCCACTGATTTAGACCTTAATGTCTGCCCGCTACCACTAAAAGATTTCTTTCCACCCGAACAGCATACAGCCATAAAACGTTCTTGACAATAACTTCAATGGGGTTTTTACCTTTTTTTATTCAAATCGGCACGAGCCTGAATAATAGCTCTCGTGGCTCGGGGATTTCTCTGGTATTATAAATGTTGACAGATTTATGTTCACTGAGAATGTAGGAAGCCTTATGTTGCAATTTGTTTACGTGGTATTTTAATGGGACATCGTATTACTTCGCAGAATTGGAAAACTGCTTGATGCATGTATATCATGATGTCACTTGATAATCGAGCTGTAATCGTACTTAGTAATTTCGTAACATGACGGAATATTGAATATACTGAAATTATCTAGATTTATCGAATTTCGAGATTTATCGATAGATTTATCGATATCGAGATGAAGTCACCGAGCAACTGAAAATGAATCTACGAAAATAAAAGACGAAATCAATTTTTATTTCCTACATTATCACCTCAAATATTTCCATCTTTGCATCAGTGTTTCAATCAATAGTTTCAATTCTGCTGAATAAACTATTTTGTGTCACAGCCAAATCCACATTATTACATGTAATTTGGAGCATTACATCATTTACAAAAGTTCTTGGGATTACCCACCAGCTCACTAAATCACTTTTTTCACCACATTTACTGCTGACAACTTACGATGTTAAATTAAATTTTCAATAGCTGTTTAAGCACCAATACTTCTCTTTATGTATAAGAAATGTTTCTTTATGACTATACTTTTCACAAAGAACTTAGGCCTACAAACTGTTTATGCCCCCACCTTCTTTTTTTCTCTAATGTCATTAAATGTTGTAGCCATTAGTCGAATTCCCTTAATTTAAAACAAAAAAATTGCATTATGCGTGTGTGAAATACTTACAGCAGTGGATGTAAAGTAAAAGAAAAGACTCATGGCTGCCTATTTCCTACATACAAATAATTAATGAGTAGCTAACCCCTGAAGAAAAGATAAGATCATTCCAAACAAAAAGTTCTGTCGACATGTATTAGGAGATATTCTGAGAAGGCTTTTCCTCCGGCGAAGTATACGTTACATATATGGTTCAGAGATGAATGATCAAGACCGTATTCAAATGTTGATGGCTTTTACTTGGTGAAACAAAATATTATTGAGCGAAATTTTGATGATGTAAGTGGATTAATGTGTACATATTCTTTAACTATGGGGCTCGTACGTTTTCAAGTTAAACAGAACAGAGGAACATTTTTGAAGCGAAATCCAAAATTCATTTAAATGTTTTACTGTCCTTTAAAATACATAATTAGTAGTTTACTCTACTCTGACCTCTAGGAAGAAGAATTAATCTATGTCTTTTTTTTTTATCGAAAGTATCTAAAACAAAAATTATTCCTATCACTTGGTCCTAAATTTGTATTTTAAGATTTTCTGCACTTTCTTTTTGCTTTTGTACTTTTTCCCTTCCAAACAGTGGCAAGACTATTGTTGTAGAATAGATTAAAATTTAACCCTTAACCATATTTAATACTTATTCTAAAAATTTTTAATCACGCCAAATCAAGAAAGTAGATTTGAAATCTTAAGATAAGTATAAAAAAAACTACTGAAATGATTTGTTTGTTTGCATTTGGATTAATGGAAATATTGACTATTAGACAATAACTAACAGTTATCTTTTTAGAACTTGTTGAGGTGATTTCATTAACACTAAGTTTACGGACGTTTCTTATGAACCTATCTTTATGAACACGCGTTAATTTGACGCATGAACGAATACATATAATAGCACTTACAGAGATGCCAACTTGCTCCAGACAGCAAATATATATTTTAAAGTGGTAGTTTATCAATCATGATTCTTGGTTTAATAAATTCAATTTACTAGATTTTTATCCACCACTATTTCTAAATAATCTGTAGGCTTATATAATTCACCACTTTATACTTGCAAAATTTACTTAGTAGTTATTTACCGCTTTTTTTAATTATTTTGGCGTGCCCGAAGCAGTTGGCATCTCTGCACTTAGAAAGCAATGTAATTATATACTATAAGAAAAAAAATGAAAATATGAGATATATATTTATGAAATATTCTAGTATTTTATTTTTCAATACTCGAACTAAGCAACTGAAACCTTCAAAATCTGACACTCTGGCGTCAATTGATATTCTGCGTTTTTTCTTTCTATCATTGCTTATCGGCAACAGTTTATCGCTTGTTTCATTTGAGATAACGATATCGGATAACGGATCAAAGTATTGTCTGTACATTCCTATTTATTATTGATGTGATGTTTGCATGTTTACTCAAAATTTTGTCTGAATTACGATCGCGTCAAATTGACGCGTATCCGTAGAGGTAGGTATACCACAAGGAGAATTTCAATATTTTAACACTTTTGAAGAAAATAGACTTCAATATATATTTACCTCGATCAATGGATAAAAGTCATTACAAGAGATAAAATAAAAATGCTAAAGGGTTTTGTAATTTTCTTTATAAAATTCGAAATGCGTCAAAATGACGCGCCCCGTAAAACTAGTGTTAAAAATCAACAATTATAAAGTTGCAACTTAAAAACCATCATTATAACTACATTTGTAAAAGCTTTTTTATTTATTTTTTTATTTTTGCATTTCAGTTCATAATTGTTATGAAATGCCATAAGTTGGGCTCTTAATATTGTTCTGGCTTCAATATTTAGAGGAAGAAAATAACTTTTCGTTTACGCAACAGTTTTATATTTAATGTTCTACTTAACGGCAAATATATATTATTATAAACAATACTCCATTATAATGTAAGATGTGAGATAAAATGATTATACATAGTTTTAAACTTAAAGCATACGATTTTGTCAATTATTTAAACTTGGTTTTTAACGCAAACGTTTATTAACTAAAAATTGCTTATTTAATTATAAGTATTCTACTACTCTTTAGAAAACAAGAACAGCAGAATTCAATAAAGAGCAAGAATAAAGAAAAATTACCATGATTTAATAAAGTTTGAAATCATGGTAATTTTTCTTAATATTTAAAAAATTGTTAAATTTTTATTATTTTTTTTAACACAAGAAAAAATATTGTTTATTAGTCATTAACTAGGGAAATATGGATTTGTTGTTGCAGTTTCATGGACGTGTTATTTCTTTTTTCAGAACAAAAGAAAGAAAAACTTTTTTTCTTATGTAGGTTTCAAGTTAAGAAGTGAATATTAAAATCAGTTTAAATTAAAAAAAGGAAAAAATATGTTATATTTTTGACCAGTAAAAACAGTTAAATATGAGTTAAAGAAACTTGGTACTTATTTACGTTCAAAACTTAATTTGATCAAGTTCACTGAGATGTGACTCAACATTTTCCACTAAGTTCTAATGTAATATAATTATTTCTAATAAAAATTTTTATTCTATTAGTACAGTTCTAATATAATTATTTAATATGCTTATATCTTTGTCAAATATTTTGTAAATTTCGAAACATTGTTAGCAAAATAGACTAGGGAATTTAATTTTTTTTCACTATAGATATATCTTTTTTATTAAATATGAAATATTTTATTAGATAAGAAAACAACATAGAAACAAAACGCTTTCAATTTAGTTATCATAATTTATTATTGTTACAAAAGAGTTAAATGAGAAACTTTGATAATTTGTACAAAAATAGTAAAATCATAATTAATTCATCAGCAAAGTAATGCTGAAGCATGAATTCAGTTTTAATTAAATATATATTTACAGTTATACACGCAACAAACACACGTAATTAAAGCAGTGTATGACAATAAATTAATTTGTAATTACAACAGTCATGCAAAAGAGTATCACAATATTTTTAACTCTGTGTTAAATGCGGTTGAAAGACTTTTTTTCAACGTTTGTTTCAGTTTTTTTTTAATATGATAATGTGTTTAATTTCTCTTATTTGTTGACCTCTTTTAATATCGTGAAGGCATATAGAAAAGAAACCAAGTAATTCATAATTACGTATTTTTACAATTTGGACTTGGTACAAGATTTAAGCATTTTTCCAAATATGGCTTGAGTTGACAAACAAAGCGTTAACCTAAGACATAACAGATCTCAACCATATGAAATACTTTCATTTTGAAGGCAATTTTCCTTTCCATATTCAGCATAGTTTTACTTCCATCTTTCTCTAATGTTACTATATTTTGGTGAAAACCGATTAAACCGGCATTCTTTATTGAAATTCATATATTATTCATTCGTCTTCATTATATACTGAGATATGTAACTTGAGTGGCAGATATAGCTCCACACGCACTGAGTATAGCAGCTGCGAAAATGGGAACAGCACTTGAGCCAATCGCTTCTGCAACATTGCCCATGGTTACTGATAATAAAAGCTGCGCTAAAAACATCATGCTACTGATAGCAGCTACGTCTGTACCTATGCCTCGTGCATTCTTTGGGTCGAGCTTTTTCTTTTTGGAAAACTAAAAGGAAAAAAAAAATGTTTAAAAGGTTTTACCAAAGAAAGGAATTATTATACAAAGAGTATGCTACATGTTACTGAAATCCCCCCTACTGTATATATTTAGGATTCTTTTCACAAATAAATCGGACAAATATAGACATATAGACATTTGTGGTTGAAATTTAATAAATATGTGAGAAAATCAAAACGTTATCAATATCTTAAGAATTATTGCTGAGGTCAATCATAGGGAGGGTGGAATTACAAAACATCAGAAGAAATTCCTTCGTCAGATGGAACAGAGAGGCGTTTCTAATCATAGCTTTTAAATTATATCCAACGAAGAAATTAGTATTGATATTTTAAATCAGACGTTTACGGTGATTCACCTTGACTGTGATAATAAGACAAGAGCAAAAAACGTTACCAAAATCCAAATAATTTATTATTTGGATTTTGGTAACGTTTTTTGCTCTTTTCTTATTATTACTTAAATATGAATTTGTGACCTTTAATATGTATGTCTTTCTTTAAAAAACTATTATTTTTATATTTTAATAAAGGTTCTAATAATTTATACGGGGATTAAAAGTGGCAATTACTGTCCAAAAGTTTAGGATATCAGGCAGAGCATTTAAATAGTAATAATTACAACTAAGATCATAAGTCAATGAAGCTACTGCAAGTGATTATAGTTAGTAGTTACGTTGACAGATATCATGTGATTTTTTTAATTTCCAAATCAGTTCCGTCAGTTTTCAGTAATTTTACAAGATTAAAAAATGCCGAAGTAAATATTTTTAGGCAAACTCGATCCCTCTTTTACTTTCGATCTATATATACAGCGTATCTTATATAAGATACGCTGTAAAAAATTTAGGAAGAAATTACGATTTTTATCAGAGCATGCTACTAAACAAAAAATCCAATGTACCATCATTTTTAAAGTAATAATTAAGTTAAAATAACTATCATTAAATAAACATTACTGTAAAAATTACGGTATAATATTTTACGATAAAATGGATTTCACGGATGATGCATCCAAAGTGCCGGTACTTTATACCGTAATTTAATCCGGAATGCTTTACAGTATAGTTCAATTTACTGTTTAAAGTTTGCTTTGGATATGAGGACAGATTTTTTCTTCTTTTTATTAGTTGATTTTGTTTGGGTACTTCCTGTTTTATTTTCAGGCTTAGGGAAATTTCTTAAAAAATAAATCGCCTCATTAAATTAAATCTATCTTAAGGAATCCTTAAGAAAAATGCATTTAAAATTTTTGCTGAAAGAGATTTGTTTCGACATTGATTTTCATTTTTCTTTCTTTTTTTTTTAAAAAAAAGAATTTTTCTAAAAAAAATAAAAAAGCTGATTTTGATAAAAGAAAATGTGAGGAAATTTTTTTGTAATCGTAGATCATGATTACTCGTCATTGTTTTTTGTTGTGAGTACAATTATTCATGATTACAAGAAAAATTAATATTTATTGATTATTTTACATAGATTACATTTTTGCTAAACTCTGCTTTTACAACGTAAAAGTAAAATCTTTAAATCCATTGATTCCGTTTTTTATGCTGTCTTTTTTTTTCTTTCTTTTTTGCGCATTATTATCTTACTTTTTTCTTCCTTATGAAAATAAGATTCTATACATACTTGATTTTTGCTGTGATAATCAGCAACCAGGAGATATGGAAGAGTCAAAAGAGAAGAGTACATTATTCCTGCTATTGGAGATAATAGGATAACTGCCACCTTGTGTTTTGTTATGGCCATTATTATGGTACTGACGGAATATCCCAATTGAGTTCCAATGTAAACAGCTTTGGCACCTAAATAACAAAATAATCTTCCTTAAGAAAAATCACAAAAAGGTATTAAGACTGCAAAATATTTAATTTGAGAATGTTTAAATTAACCCACTGAGTTACAATATTCATAAAAGATGAGATAACTATTCGTCTTCCCTTCTCTACAGCTCACCAATTCTCAGTTTTGTTTAATTGGCTTACAACTAACTATAAATAAAACCATTATCAAATTATGCGTACATATGTTTACATATTACAAAAGAAAATTTAAACTTATCTCTATGTTTAAAGTAAATGCACGTAGAAATATATAACAAATAGAAAACTATACTGAATATTTACTGCCATAAAACTTATTGAAATATTTTTAAAATAAAAGATATTTTTTGAATAAAAAAATTAATTTTTTTTTAACTTAAATTTCTGTAAAAGAACTGAGAACATGAAAAAATGCCTGTCCCCTCCAAGATTTGTGCATTTAAATTTTTTTAATACCTAGTTATAGTTTTTCAACTGAAAAAAAAAATTTCTGTTTCACATCCTTTAGAGAATGTTTCCTCCGTAATCATAAACTTTCTAAATATGTTATTCTTTTCACCTAGAATACCTCAAATATGCCTCAAAGTTTTGGAGAAATTAAAAAAAATTTCGATAAAAAAGTACTTGTAAAAGTTTCTAATTTCCTCATAAATTTAAATAAACTTCCCAGGGTGGAGATAGATGGGATAGTGGACGGGGAATTTTTTTTTAGAACTCTTTTTTGTTCTTACTTTTGCACGATTTTATGCATAAGAAAACGAAGTATCAAGGAATATAATTTTGTTTAGTACAAGAAAGCTTAAATGATTATATAGTTATTCAAAAAAATTGTTATAAATTATTTAAAAAACTTTTTTTATTTTATTTTATAACTGACGTTGAACAGCTAACTCGATTCGGAGTTCATGACAATCAATGTTCAACTGCATAGTCTTGTAACTTTGAATCTAACCCAGAAGAAAAAGGAACACTTGGATCAAGCATTGGGACAAACTAGTCTTCTGGGAGGACTTTTTGATGGAACTAACTCAACATTACATGGAGGGGAAAACCACGAAAACATTCATAATTAGTCGACGGCCAGGAGATTCTAACCCATAATCCGTCTACAATTATAGATATTTTACGTCAGCATTGTGGTCGGTGCGAATAGGGAGCAGAAGTCGTATCAACCAGCAACCGCAGGGATTTGAACCTGGCAGGTCACCTCACTGAGAAGCAAACGCTCTATCTCCTGAACCACTTCTTTTCAGCATATAAAGTATGAAGCAGGCGAAATGATCTCCCGATCATCTGGTAAATGCACCTAATAAAAGTTGGGCCCACTTTTTGAAGTGAAAAAGATATTGTTATGAGCTTGCCTAATTGTACCTTGTCTTTTTCTTATGGAGTCACTTGTAAAGTGACCGGTGATAATTATGATCATTCCTCTCAATCATTGAACAGGATACTTAACAGGAACAATGTCCATGATCAATCGGAAATTTTTAAGGAATCGAACTCGTTTACATTGAATTAAAAAGGATATTAAAAGCAAAACATTTTTCTTAAGCAGCTGGGTTTTACACTTACCAACTTTCTTTACCAAAGCTTCAACAAAGAGTGAATAGAATGAGCATGATATGCAGAAGAGTGCCAATCCCCAACATCCAAACTGAACACCTTCTTGAAATGTTGCATATTTTGTTGAGTCCTGTGCATCTTGAGGGTCACCTCCAAACACACACTCACCCACAAAATCCGTGAAGTATAACATGTAGCATATGCAGGACATCCACCCCAAGAGGTTCGTCAATGAAAGAATGCGAAGTGACCTGGGCATGTGAACGATAGATAGGAGGTATTCCTTCAATTTCGGACTGTCTTTTGCAACCTCTGTCTCATTTGTAATTTTGATTTCTACATCTGGAAATATAAAATTTAAACAAATTGTTTAGATCTAATGAATAGTGACTTTTTTTAAGTATTCTTATATATAATTTAAATTTAACATTCCCTTAATGTAAAGTTTTGTGGCCATATTTTAAATGAGTTAATCTTCATAACTTGTTCGAAGGTTGTGCTCTATTTGAAAAGTACTTTCAAAGTTTTTCTTAAATAGAATATAAATGAAAGGTCGAAGTTTCTCAGAGGAGAAGCTAATTAAATGAATTGTAAAAGTTAATTTTAAGTACCGTTAATGTCAAATTTAGTTTCCTTATTTCATTACGCACAAATTAATTTATATCGATTGCTCATGTTCAAATGTTGTGCAAAATTTAAAAGTAATTTCAAAGTATTTCTTAAATAAAATATAAATGAACAGCACAAATTTCTGTGAGTCGAGTGGATATACAGAGTCTCATTTAGGCAATAACAAGTCTAAATATTCGGAATGTATTTGTAATGCGTAGGAATTTAAAATAATATAGATGGAAAATCTTCATAAATTTCTCATATATATAAGGAGTGAATAAAATTTTCAAAAGTAGAGTTAAGTTGTAGAAATTTGCTTAGAGAACTATAACTTTAAAAATTGTAAACAGTACTCGAAATGTCTATGTAAGAAAGATAAAAGCTTAGACTTCAGCCTACGAGTAAGATGACAAGTATATTTCATTAAAAATGAATGAAAATCTTAAGTGGGTGAAAAGTTCAAAGCACACTTTAGTTTCATAAAACACTAACAATAAAAATTGAACTTGAGAAAAAAAATTTATTGAAAGTACAATTCATTTTTTCAAAGAAAATAAAACTATGCGCTTTTTTCTGTACTTTAGTTCATTAACAAATAAAATTTACATTTAACAAAGTCAATCAAGTAGGTATTTTTAATCTGTTTCTGACATTTTGATATAGAAAATAGATATTAATTTAACATATTGTTATATCGTTAACATATTGTATATTGTTATATAATAGATATTAATTTAACATATGTAATTGATTATATTTCCGATCTTTCAAAAAATTTTCAACAGTTTAATATTTAGAATTATTTTTATTTTCAAACAAATGTTCACATTTAATTTTTGTAGTAAAGTATTTAAAAGAAATCATAAAATTAATTATTATATATCGTTGCTTTTGTTTATAGTTTCTCTACTTTAGCAATTGTTCGTGTAAAAAAAAGTCAAAAATAGTAATTTTCAAGTTTAAAAGTTTTATAACTTTATACTTTTCTAATAATTGTTTTTAAATTATGAGAAAAGCTATTCCTTAAAAATTTCTGTTTTAAAGTTCCTAGGTAAAAATTTTTTGTAAAGTTTCTGTTCAAAATATTACATTGTCAAAAGTGTGAAACTTTTGAAGAAACTAAAAATTGATTATCTTTCTTTTTACTAAAAAACAATAAAATTTAGTATAAAAAATGTAATAAACATACTTAATAAAACTCTGCTAAATATACTTAATGAAGTTTATACTTAATGAAACACTAAATTTAGAGGAAAAACTACTCTTTGAAAACATAGTTTTCTCTCTTTAGCTACCAACACAGTAAAAATTATTTTTTTTATTTGATTTTTTTTAATATATTCTTCCGTAAAAAGTATGAAATGTTAAAACAATTAAAGTAGAGAGTTTTTATAAAATAGGAAATAATAAAAATTGAAACTTAATGTTTAATTCACACATTCATCACTTTTAAATTATGCAATTATGGTCCTAGCCTTATAAAAATAGTTTTTTTTTCCTTTAAAAAAAGGAACTTAAAGAATACTTTTGATAAGAAATAATTTGAAAACCAATGTAGAATTATAACTCTCTAATTCTCCTAACCCCATTGAAGCAGGTATTTTAAGACTCGTAACTAGTTTTATAAAATGAAATGTACATTTTTTTATTTTATTAAAAGGATGACAAAGGTTATTTTTTCTGAGACAGCCATGAAAACAAAACTGGGCATAAGAGTACAATATTTATTAAGTAAGATAATCTATTCAGTTCTGGTTCATGCTGACTAAGATTGGGTATGAAAAGATAGGATTAAAAGGATATTTAAATATATATATAATTTCGAACTTACTTTGTGATTTATCTAAATCCTTAAAGCTTTTATTTTTATCTGGTACATTTTCATTCAAATTTTTAGAACTTTCTTTGTCATTGGTGAGAGCTTTATTCTTACTTTTTGAATCAATCACTTCTTTTTCTCTATCAGCTCCATGCATTTTCTTGTCGGCTTCATTAAGGTTTTGGTCGACGCTTATTACATCCATTTCTTTTGAATTTTTGTCTCCAGTATTTCGGTGAAGTTTCTCTTTGTACTCTTTGTACATTACTGGATCTTTTAAGAGAGGCAGAGGTAATTCAGAAAAACTGTTCAATGATATAGCCAGACAGATGAGAAAAATTATAGTATTAATTGTAAAAACAGCATGAATCTGTCCACCAAGAAGATCTCCAATCCACGTGTTTCCCCAATCTATCGCACCCATGGCGTATCCAAGTGATCCACCAAGTCCTGCCATTATTGTAAATGTGCTCAAGCCAGAAGCGTGATCTGAAGGAATTGATACGTCTAGCAAATATGTCCTGGCGGGAGACTGGCATGAATCAGCACAAAAATCTAGTAAAACGACTCCAATGACTGTAAATGCAATGCTCCATGGTTGAAGATTTGAATTGTTTTCTAAAATTTGGTCATTTTGAGATTCTTTAAATAGTTTATTATAAGTTTCTAAGTCTATTTGTGAACTATTTTGATTGATTAGAGTTGAATTTTCTGAAAAATAAGCGAGATAATATTCTGTCGATAATTCTTGCATTTTTGTAAAATTTAAAGTTCTATTAGTTTCCACATCAATTTTAAATGTACTACTTCTCCCATCAAGAGTACCAGATGGGTTACCGATCGAGGCATGGTTACGTCCAATATCTCCAAGAGCCACACCTATGTGATGTCCACTTGGTACTAAAATGAGACCTAATAAAATGCCTATTGAATACAAGATGATGAAGGGTCGTCTACGACCGTATTTTGATTGACAACTGTCACTCATGGAACCTAATATAGGTGAAAGAATGAGTCCAACTAACGGACTTAAGCACCATATAATTGTGACGTATTTGATACTTAAGCCAAGACTTAAAAGTATAGGGGTCACAAAAGCAGTCTCTGCTGCATAACAGAACTCAATTCCACACACAGCACCACTTAATTTTATGTGTTCCCAACGACTCTTGTGTCTAAAAGTGTGACTGTATTTGTCAGGAATGTGTTTGCAGGTAACAGTGTCTGTAGAAACAAAGAAGTTTTTAATTTTTGTTGCGATATTCTTTTGTACAGCTTTTCCGCCAGTGAGTATAGTTGAATGTTGTCCCTCTAGTATGGACTCTCCTGTGCTCTCTGTTGTGGAGAAGCCATTAGTCATTGGAGTTTTCTTTCTATCACCTGCAAATAAATACAATTATAGAATTTATTTTCGGTGTTGCAAATGATATAAGATGCAATAGCAAGATAAGTTTAGTTTTTATTTCATTACATTTCTGAGGGTAAATAACAAAGTTGCTACAATTAGTGCAAGAATAGGGCAGAATCCTCTCTTTTGTGGTAAGCAATAAAAGAGGAAACAGTGAAAACCTACTGACTTTTTAAATTTTATTTGGCTGTTCCCCAACATTGTGTGCATCAGGACGTACCTTGCTATTAAACTAAGCCCAGCAATTTGCAAGTAGGTTAACATTTAATACATATCTGTTATTAAGCATGGTATTTAGAGTTTGTCTTGTTACATACCGAACTTTAAACTGTCATTCAAATGTTTAAAAATGGTGTTTTAAGAGCCCTAATTTTCTATGTGTTCAAAACTGGTATCTTATACTTAATAGTGACTATCATTTATCGTTGTTTTTAGGTAACTGCTGTTTAGGTTACTTAAATCAGAACTTGTACTTAAAATAATATTATAATGTTGGTCGTAGCTTCAGAAATATTCAGTTCTAGATAAATGAACTTGAGTTACCATAAGAACTGAACAATCAGACAAACTTAAAATGTGATAAACAAAGATTTTATGTAATAGTCAAAATAATAGTTAAAAATACAAACATCTCAAAATAACTTCACAGCTAAAAACTAGGGAATTGGAGTTGCATAATTAAATTAATATATTTTTATCAAATGGACTAGGCAAGTAAAACTTGTAACACCACAAGATTTAATGTGTTTCCTTTCAAATATGTTGCAAATTTTGGTGTTCTGATTTGTGTCATTGATTTTAGCAACGCGCAGTTTCATAACCATGCTCTTTCATTAGAGAAATAAATAAACTGTTAATTCAATTTGGTGACTTTTCTTTTTTTCCTTCCTGAAGAGCACCCGTCCAACTGATAAATATACATTTTAATATGATTTTTTGTAAGTGTAATTTATGAAAAGCATATATGTATGTTTAAAATTTTTAGGACTTCATTCGTAAATTTTCTTTGCTCACAACAAAAAATTTGACGGTAAATATAAATAATATTTAAGCGTCATTGGCTCAGTGGTTAAGGCATTGGATTTTCATAATGAAAAACTGAGGTTCGATCCCCCCATGATGGCTTGAAGCCTACTTAGCATCAGATCAATGCATACCAGATCATCAAAGGCAACCAGTGCGCAATGGTGACCACGTTGCCCCAATCATGTCATTGTTCAGGAAATTGTTGAGCCTTTAACCTCTGAATCAACATAGCCCTCTGATCTACAATAGGCTGTTGTGGAAATATTTTACTTTTTTGCGAGTAATATCTAAACATAAAAGTGATACTATATCGTGGACTCCCAAAAATTAAACTCTTCGTTCAATTCAATTTGAAACATAAAAGGTTGGGAATAATTTGGGTTTGAGATAAAAATACTGAAAATCAAACTAAAGTAATAATTTTCAAAAATAAATAAATAAAATAATATATCGGGCAATTAAATTTTACTTACCACCATTGCCTTCCACGTTGTAATTATCAAAACTCATGTTTAATTCAATTTAATTGCGATAAAAATTATTTAAGCTGTCAGTTTTCTTCTATGATGACTTGAGAAAAGAAAGAATCTTAGGAATATTTTACTATTAAATGTATCTTTTTTGTTTGTCTTACCCCTTATTAAAATTAAAATATTTATCCCTTTTCTTAGCCAATAGCTGAGCTCCGTAGCTGCAGCTATATTTTATTGTTTAGATAATTTTAAGATAAAAGCATTTATCTTAATATTATCCTGAGCATTTTTTTTTTGTTTTTATGATGTTAATTGTTTTAAAATTTATGATGGCTTACGCAGGTGCTGTAAATATTTTTTATAATATCCTAGATGTAAAATAGAATATTCTTTTGCATAGAAGTGCAAACTAGATTCAAGCAGTCAAAATAAGCAGATTAATATAGACTGCACTATAATCTTTAATAACTATACTTTTTGATTAAACTTTTGCTTATTAGTTTAGTAAACATAAAATAATTAGAATAAATTTACCCGATATATTTGATATATAAACCAGATATTTACACACATAATTTGTAGTTATGCTATTTGTTTAATTATTTGTCATTTTGTCAACTGTCCAAACACGTATTCATGAGTTAACTAAAGCAACAGAAGTTATATACTATATTATTTATATATTTTTAACATTTATTATAAATTTATTTTTAAGGGGTACCGTGATTGGCTCAGTGACGACTGGAAGTTACCACTGATATCGAGCTCGTCACCGAAGTGGGCGGACCGGTGACGGATGTGGATATTCAGCAAGTTTAAAATATCTGGCAAGGCACCGGTGATTTTCCATATGAGTCTACTTTTAGCATCTGGCAATCTAAATTGTTAACTTTTATAATTTTCTCTCCAGCAGCGGACTGATCGTTAAGGCACGGTTCCAAGCAGACCACCGAAGTCAAGCATCACTGGCTGTGGTCAGTGTGCGGGAGAGTGACCACTTGGATCAGTCTGCGAAGGGTCCGAGGGTGTGCGGTTTTGGTCCTCGTTAAACTGCTCTACCGTAAAGTGCTCGACTTCACTCGCAGGTCGTCCGGGTACCGAAGCGGGGGTGCTACCTGCCATCCCCTCTGCAAAGGATCAAAATTGTGATGGCATGTCTTCGGATCATCCTCAGGGATGTTTCCCTGACCGTCGTCAATAGCCCATTGTGCAGCTCTAGTGCGACGTAAATTAACAACAACAATCTATAGTTTTCTTGTGTTTATTGCATTTCTCTTCAATATTTTAATTTGACTTCTTTTCTTCAAATTTAAGAAATGGCTTTGGTGAAAAAAATTGTTTTTAACTTGCAGTGATGCAGCTATAATAGACAGTTTATTATTAGACAAGGTCCTTAAGATGTCATATTCGACGGTACACCGGAACTTGTTTCTTTTTACCAGTGAATCATTCAGTGCTTCACAGCAAAGCAGACAGTGACTGAAATCATCGTGATTCAGTCACCTCGATTGCAGCTGCCCTAAGATGCTCCATATGCGAGTGTAATTTACTTGCTAAAAAGTACGAGTAAAACTTTTTTAATAAAGCTAACTTTCAAGACTAGACCGATTATTTATTTACCACACCCTGTATATTCAGTCTTCTGTGGGGAAACTTCAACTTTTAACTTCACGTTGCAAAGAGGTTAAATATACTGCATCGTTGTTCTTAAAAATATAGTTGTTCTTATCAAAAGTATCATCGAGAAGAGATTTGTTGCGCATCTGCAGATTCCATGTATGGAGATAGTCACGCAGTTCGTATATAGAGATGGTAGTTGTACTGCAACTGAAGATTTTGTGTATGGAGGAAGAACTTCTAATGCAATGAGTGAGTCAGTTAAACCGTTGATTTCAATGCACTGTCTACAACAACCCAAAAACGATTCCTGGAAGTCGAATATGTGCTTTTGATGTTTGGCGCCATTTCTTACAAGATCCTTCATGTGTACAAAAGCTTCGCATAAACTAGTGATATAAGGTGACTCCATAGATTAAAATCACACAGAATAGAATCTGGGTCATCATTGAGAACATCAACACAAATAGAACAGCCATTCTCTCAACCAATCAAGGTTGCACATTTAAACAAATCTACAAAGGTTGTCCACAAGGATCATGCTTTGAACCAACAGTCTGGAATTTAGTTATTAATAATCTTCTTATTACTCTTAGCAATAGTCATATAATACAGGCATTTGCTGATGATATAATAGTTCTTAACTACGCGAACTCGAGGAGAGATCTAGAAAATACAACAAACAGCACACTTAATACAATTCATGATTGGTTGATTAATAATAAACTAACGCTTTCAATAGAAAAGTCAGTTTTCATACACTTCAAGAAATCTAACAGAGGCCCCATCTTTAGAATTAACGGACAAAAAATAGCACAAAAAAAACCATTTCAGATATCTCGGCGTAATTTTGGATAAAAATCTAAACTGGGGTCCCCGTATTGAAATCCTTAAAAACAAATCCAATAACCTCTTAAACTCTTTAGCAAAAATAAATACAAAAACCTGGGGCATCAATCACACCGCAAGAAAATTTATATACAAGACAGTCATACTCCCTTCCCTCTCTCATGGATCCTGTGTTTGGGCAAGCAATATGTCCCCAAGAATTATGAGAGCACTTGAAACAATCCAACGGAAATTTCTATTAAATATCTCTAGATCCTACCATTCAACTTCCATAGCCGCACTCCAAGTTCTATGTGGTATCCCCCCTCTTTATAAACAGCTTGAATTGATCTCCAGCCTGGCATCTCTTACCAGGGCCGGCCCTAGACATTTTGGCGCTCCGGGCAAAACCTTAATTTTGCGCCCCCCCTCCGTTTTTTTTAAAGTAAATCTCATGCGACCATATCAGAAAGTCAAGAAAACATTGAAAAAAAATTTAATAAAAAAAAATGTTTTATTAAAACTCAAACATCAGATAACAAGATAAGAAATTTAGCACTTAAGGCAAAATAACAAAAATTAAAGTGTAGTAATGCTAACTAAACTAATATCCCATATAATAAATAAATTATAACGAACCAAAGTAATTAAAATGCCCTTTTTCTAACTTTTCATTCGGCAAACTCACGAATCAGTGATTTCAAGTCTAATTTGTCACTAATTTGGTGTTCTATAGCATCATTGCCAATCCATTGAGACGATTTTGCGCCTGCATCGTTTTGAGATTTTTATTATTTTTTGTTTTGAAAAGCTTCTTTCCCCTGAAGCCACAGTGACTGGCAATGTAAGTAGGATTCTTAATGCTTTGCTGAGGTTTGGTGCGAATTTAAGTGTAGCGATAAACTTGAGAACTTCAACAGGGGTTTCCTTATTTGTTAATGACGAAACAATGCTTATTTCATCAGCTAGTTCCAGGACGTTAAGATCGCTTGAATTTCAATCAGTTAAAACTACTTCCAAATCTTTGCAATGAGCCAGTAGCTCATTTCTGGGCATGTCTTTTAGACCACAAATATTATACAAAAAGCTGAAATAATTACTGTGAGTATTTAGCAAATTATATCTGGTTTCCAAGGCATTTATTGCTTGATCTATAGTGTGAAAAAAAAATCTATTTTATATTTTTGTTTGAGGTCTTGAATGGGTTCATCCGGGCCCTCATACAAAAACGTTCTTGTTTTGCTTCTGACACGATGACGTGGTGTGGTGGTTTCGAAATTAGCTTCCACGTCAATCTCTGAAGCAAGCTCGGTTGCTTCTAAAATGATGCTTTCAAAAGTTTCATCTGATCTCAGGTTTTCAAAGAAGAGTTTGCAGTTGCTAAGCATATCAATAGCTTGTGACATATCAAAATTTACAGTTTGCAAAAGTTTGCTGATGGGGTTAATATGACTCAAAATTTTGTACCAGATCACAACAGAGCATATAAATTTGAACTGCTTCAAATTATTTAATAATCCGCTAGCCTCGTCTCTGATCATATTATCGATTTCTGAATCTTCATATATGCTGTACAAAGCATCGTGAATTGAACCAATTTGAAACCGCAGAGCTTTTAATGAGTTGACTCGACTTTCCCATCGCGTATCACTCAATGGTCTTAGGGTGTAAGCATCAATATATTTCCGTAATATTGCCCAACGAAAAGAGGAAGAAAAAAATGTATATAACTTTTGAACAATATTGAAGAAGTTGGCTGCCTCAAACGAGGATTTTGCCATATCGTTTACAACCAAATTTAGCGAATGGCTGCTGCATGGAACATAAAATGCTCTGGGGTTTATATTTCTGATTCTTGTTTGTACTCCCGATTTTTCTCCTCTCATATTGGAACCATTGTCATACCCTTGACCGCGCATGTTTTCTACTTTAAGCCTATTTTTAGAGTGTACTCCCTACATTTTATTTTTTTATTTGTAATATATAACTACCCAATTTTTTTTAATACGAAGGACAAACAAAATGAAAAATACTCTGCCAATTTATGGGCATCTAAGCTCACACGATTAACACCAAATCATAATATTTCATTGTAGGTACCTCCACTGGCAAAAAAAAAAATTTGATACCACACAAGACATTTTTTGATGTAAACTCTAATTTTTGAAACCCCCCCCCTTGTGCGCCACTGGCTTAAAAAAATTAAATGCATTTTATTCAATTCCAGACTCAATTACTTTCATTTGATACCACACAAGCCATGTTTTGAGCTAAACTCTCAATTTTTGAAATCTACCCCCCACCCTTTTTTTGGCTTATGTCCGATGGATTTATTCGTTTTTAAAAATGAAAAGAAAAAAAATTAAAACACTTTCCTTCACAGAAGCCAAACGCACTGGACAATTTGCACAGGCACTTTTTTAAAGCTTTTTTGCACTAACAATTTAAACAAACTATTTTATTTCGCACCAGCCGAAGTCTAGAGGCAAATAATGCATTGTTTTAAGTCTACTTCCTTTTTATATGCAGTTAAAAAGGGCTGTTAGATCTTGTTTCGCTTGGTTTCAAAATTGTAGTTTCCAGGGGCCGAAAAACTTGTCAATTCTTGAAAGGCGGTGGTTGAGTGGTTTTGTCATGTTGAATTGGATTCAACTAGATTTTGCCTTAATGTTTAAATATAATATATTATTTGAATTATGTGCTTAGAAATAAAAATGATAAATTCCGCCTGCGCCTCTCAATCTTGTCAACTATCATTTTGGCGCCCCTAGATCATTGCGCTCCGGGCGGCCGCCCGGATCGCCCTACCCTGGGGCCGGCCCTGCTCTTACTCAACTGAAAAAGGACATAATACATGATAATATAACATATTGTTACAATGATTTCAATACTAAGCAACCAATCCCCGCCTTTCATCCTTCAAACTACTTAAAGAATGTAATAAATCTTAAAGAAAACAATAATTATAATCATCTAAATATGCACAATTACTTTACATATGGTTCTAAAATGGAGACAGGTATAGGCTTTGCATTTTACAACATAAATTTCTCAAAAAATTTCACTCTTAGCAAAAATAATTCCATCTTCCAAGCTGAATTACTAGCCATTCTTGAATGCATTCTACATATTAAAAATCAAAATGATTTCAACAATACTCAACAATATACTATTTGGTCAGATTCGAAATCAGCTCTATTCTCAATAAAAAATTCTTGTACTAATAATAAACTATCGATTAAAATCCAAACACTCTTATCTAACACTAATATACAACTTTCATGGATTAAAGCTCATCAAAACAGACAAGGTAATGAACAAGCAGATGCCCTCGCCAAATTATCCACGACTAATAAACAAAACTATTTCTATCCGTATCCTATTTCTTTTCTCAGGAAACAACTCAAAACTTCAACCAATAAAAGCTGGCAAATATATTGGGATAACACCGACAAAGACTGAAGACTTTATAACATTATTCCCAAAATGAACTACTTTAAATCTATACCTACAAAGCAAGAAATATGGTTCCTTACTTCCCTACATATTTCAAATTCCTAAACATAACTGACACTGATCAATGTTCATGCGGCCAACTGGGTACTCCAGAGCACTATCTTACTGAATGCATTTACACTGCCTCTTGGCATACCCGTCCGCCGAATCAATCTAACCTTTACAAATGGCAGAAAAACTTCCTAACTAACAAGACATTAAATACTAAACTTAAAAACACAATGCATTTTTTATCCATTAATGATAAATTAATAAAATTTTAATGTTAACCTCATTAAGATTATGGACTGCCTACTAAAAAAAAAATATTTGTCTTACATAAAAAATATATATATTCATGTATTTAAAATATTTATTCTGTCTAACATGATACATTATATTTATGTACACTTTCTTTATTCTTTTTCTTTTCATTTCTCTTTTACAATTTTTATGTATATAACAAAATTCATTTTTTTATTGTTCATGTTCTTTTTACTTCATTTATTGTTTCAACCATTGTTTTTTTCTTTTAAACAAATGTGTTGCACTTCATTGTCTTCTGCAAGACTTTCAATGTTGTTTACTAAATTTTATTGTAAAATTTTTTATAAGTATTATGTAACATGCAATTTTTTATAATAAATTCCCACTGTTCAGGCCAGCTCACCGGGTTGTGGTGCGCTGGACTGGTAGCCAGACGTGGACTATACGGGTAAGGATTTTGCAAACCTAGGTACGTGTCCACGTCTGGAGGAAAGGAAAAAAAAAGGAGTAGAATCTGTGTAATGCGGAGGCCATGCAAAGGGTCTGACCTGAATCTTTCGTCTCCTCCAGATTTAGGGCCTGCACTCATTTTTTGCGAATATATATATCTGTTTATAACTATGTATAACTTTAATAACTTTAAAGCATTAATAACTATATAAGAATAAGACGTGGTTATCTAAATTACTGAATACATTGATGAAGTTACAGTCAAATCTCAAATTTTTAAGAATTCGCGAAATTTTACCAACTTAAGTTTTATTTTTTATTTTCCCATATTATACTTTAAGCAGATTCAGTTAGTTAGTTTTAATTATCATTCTTTTCACTGAAATTTGCAGGGTTCTTTTTTTTTTTTTATCCGTTGAGTGGCGCAAGGAAAATTTGCTTTTTTTATGTGGAATGATCTGTAAATACAATTTTTAGATTAGAAAAGTGAGAATCTGATAGTAACTAGTAATGCTTATCAAAAAATTGTGAATTTCTTTTCAAAATTATCCTTATTTAAATTGTGTATTCTGTTAAGTATTTCAATGTATAATTTAGCACACAAAGATATTTAAACGCCTTGTGTAACGAAATTATTGTTTGATTCCTTTTTTAATTTTATTTGTCCAATTTCAAAATTTTTAATATTTTTCCAACTTCTAAAAATCATGTTTAAAAAAATATATATAGCTCACTAAAGTTTCCTTTCAAGAAAAAATAATTTTTCATATTTTGTGAAGAAATGAAAACTAACTTTCAAACTTACAAAGTGAAAGTGAAATTTATTTTGCGTCAGCGTGTACGAATTGAATTATATATTACTTCATATATTTAAAAGAGTTTGTCTAAATTTTTCATTAATTTATAGCTAAATACCCACTTTTGAAAATGTTTTTATTGATGGCTGTTTGTCCAAAAATGTGTTGACGGCTGTGAGACTTCAATTTATGGCTAGAAAGTTCTCTAGCGATTGTCCCCCGCCAGTACAGTTTATGACAGATGTAAACTCAGATTCTAGAAAATGTCATTTACAGTCAAGGCTTTTTTTTTTTATAAATAAACTATTGTGTTGTTAAAATTTTCAAAACTCTAATCATATTTTTCTCAAACTTTACACATGATTTGGCATTTTTATAGTAAATTACGTTGACCTATCATCAATATTTCCTATTTACTACAATTTACTTTGGCAGAAACTGTTACTAAAAATAAAGTAATATTCATCTTACGATATTGTAAAAATGAAGTAGGAAATAAAAATGAAGTAATATTTACCTATAATAAATCTTACTAAGTGAAATCTCGTTCTGATTCTAAGAGCTAAACTGATTTAGATCGTAATAAAATGAGCGTAATAAATTTTTTTTTTATTATATTTGTATTACAACTACAATTTTTGATGAATAAAGAACTTTAAGGGTCAACGCTTCTATTAAAGTACATACAAGAACGTTTCATTATATTTTGGAAAATAAATATTTTAAACTTTGACTTCCAAATTTTTTTCAAAAGTTTTTTTTGAAAATAATTTATTCAACTAAAAATTCTTTAAAATATCAAAAAATTAATACATATATTTAGCTGTTCATTTTTTTCAATATTTAGATACACAATAAAAAACAATTGAGAAATATTAAAAATCATCTCACAAATTCGCTTCCTCTCCGCATTTAGATACAATTTTTTTTAAAAGTGAAAATAGATAATTTTGATAAAATAAATACTTATATTGCATTCTGCATAATTTTAAGAGTGTGTGAAACTTGAAAAGTATTATTAAAAAATTCCCAAAAGAAGTTTAAATGCCTACTCTTAAATGGGAAAAGGAAGTTTTAAGGTATCAAGTATAAAACCATATGGTTTTAATAAAGAATAAAAAATTCTTGAAATTCAATAAAATTATTTTTATGAAAGTAAACACACAAAGGAAGTAAAGCATTTCCGCGAATGCCCATTTTGGGGCAGAAGGGTCTTGAAGATTAATGCTCCACAATTTCATGACCAATGGTCTACCAACAACTGGGGGCCTCCTCGCTTGCTTCCCAAATAAGTACCTTGCTTTTTTTGGTACCGAGTCGATGCTAATGTGCGAGTGAACTGGGGGGCGACAATGACAGCTCATCGCCTTTAACCACCTCAGGTAGCAAAATGATATTATCTAACATTAGAAAGATGCAATATAATACACCCTTGCTAGAAAAAGCTAGACTTCTGAATCCTATTTTCTAATATTATATAATATTAAATTAATTATTAATTTAATAAATATAATATATTATACGTATAACATTAAATTGTGCTCTATCTAATTTTCAAACTTTTAAAATTATCATCTATTTCACTATTTTTGATCCAGCGCCACTTTTTTGTGTGTTTATTATTAATAAGTAAACATTTATTTATGAAAGAAATCAATGAATTAAATATTACTTAAAAAATATCATTTTTAGCCAATGCAATCTTATGCCAGAAAATGCAAGAAAATATTGGTGGAAGTAAATTCTCATCGCGATATAAAGCTGGGAAAACTTCTTCAACTGTTGAGTTGTAACTTCTTCATGATTTTTTGCATTACATCGTTATATTTCTTCGCGGTCGGCGGCTAGCATGAATCGTTTCATATTTAAGGTATTTATAATTTAGCAATTTTTAATAAACTTTATAAGTT